TGAGATTCGAATCCCAGAAGATCTGAGATTTGAATCCCAAAAAGCTTTATAAATAAAGCTTATTATCTACAAATTAAAGAGAAAGAATCGAAAAAAAAAGGCAAAAAAAAGCTTTGATTAAAAATAAAATTTTTACAAAAACACAAAAAAGAGCAAAAATAATCCCCTGAAATGGAGAACCCAGCACTAAAAATACACCTACAAAAACACAAAAAAAAAACCAAAAAAACATAAAAAAAAGAAAAAATTTTTGATCGAAACTTTGAAGGCTGATCTGGGTGTTTGGGCTACTTTCGAGAGAAACCAAGCCCGGATCTGTTTTTCGAATGACGAGAAAGATTTTTTGGGTATTTTTTAAGATTTTTTAACCATCAATAATGACGACCGATGACCGACGAATGACGATGACGATAGTCGATCCCTGTTTTTTTTTTTGTCTGAGAGAAAAAATAAATTTTTGGAAAAAAGAGAAAAAATGGCCGAAAAAAAAAAATTCTTGATTTTATATAAACTGCCAAAACCCAAAACGACGTCATTTCACTAATGCCCAAAACCATGTCGTTTTAACTCCTGAAGATCCGCGCGTTGACCCATGACCCGACTCAGAGTCCGCGCACTTGACCTGAAACCCGTTTCTCCTTCAACCCCTGTCCGATCCAGCTGAACCGTCAGACCGAACTGAACCGCGCTTGAACCGTTAAACCACCAGATCAAACCGAACCGTCGAACCGAACCGCGAGTTGACCGAACTGTTGACTGATCCGATTCAAGTGAAAAATTTTTTTAAAAAAATTTTTTAAAATTTTTATATATTATTTTATTAATATTTATGCATATTAAAATATTTATATTTGTTAGATTAAATGATGAAATATGTGATTAATTTTTTTTATAATTTTGTTAATTTTTAAAATAAACTTTAAAAACAAAATAATATAAAAATAAATTTAATAATAATACTAAACTAATACAAAATGCAGGAAAAAAAAATTTTATTTGACGATGAGATTCAAAGATATTCCAAATAATGATGCCTGTGAAATCTCTAGGTGAAATTTTTTTTTTAAATACTACTAGTGTATTAAAATATTTATAAAAAAAATTTCAATACAGTAAAAATTTCTTTTTAAGTAATAAATAAAAATTGATTAATAAATTAAATAAAAAAATAAAAAAAAAATTTATTCAATGATAAGATTCTAAAAGTATTTCGAGTAAAGATACTTTAAAAATTCCTTAGGTAAAAATTTTTTGTAAAATATTACCAGTGTATTGAAATATTTATAAAAAATCTTCAATATAATTAAATTTCTTTTTCTTTAAAATTTAAATTTCAAATAAAAAATTAATAAAACAATTAATAATTTTTTTTTGAAAAAGAATAAAATGTATGCATCCATATGTTATTATTTGCATTGCATACATGACATAATTTTTTTTCGAAAAATAAATTCGAACATCCAAAGATGAGATTCTAAGGTATTTCAAAAAACGATGCCTAAAAAATCTCTAAGTCAAAAAAAATTCTTTCAATGTTACCAACGTATTGAAACATTTTAAGAATTATTTCAATAAAAAAATTTTAATTTATTTTTCTCGAGAATAATTTTTTTAATAATAAGCAAAAGAAATCAAAGAAAATTATTTTTCAAACACAAAAAATAAGACCTTTTTTTTATCAAAATCAAAGGATAACACTAGTTAATTAGTACCGTTTTAAACGGACACTGTGAAGGTGCTAATCCTTCCCCACACGTAACTTACTCCCGAATCCAAACAGTTACGCAGACCCTAAAATTATCTTTTTAATAAATTTTAATTAATTTTAAAATTTTATTAAAATGATATGTTTTAATAAATGACCAATCGCACCTCGCTTAAAAAGATTGATGGGGACTCTGTTATTTTTTATTTCGTTTCTAAATTCGTCGGACGGACACAAAACCGTTACAACAGCTACTATCCATAATATTTTTGCAATTATTGATAAAAAGTTAGACATGAGTGGAGACAGATGTTTAATTCCTCTAAAAAGTTGATCATACAAACAATTATGTAAATGGCTCAGTGAAATATAAAAATACTTTAATATAAATAAAAGATTGTGTACTTTTATTATTTTTACACTTTGCATAGAGTCAAATACACACAAATGCAAAAACGTATAAGAAATAATTATGTTTTTCATTATCAAGTATGGATATAAATCTATCACATAAACAAAGATAGATATCACAAATCATGGAAATTCACCTAATAGTGGCAGCAAAAGCAATAGTAAAACCCAATATAAACAATATTAGGAGACATTTTGATAAACAGTTTTTATGCTCAAAATTTTCTTACATAAACAAAATCAAGAAATAGATCAATTCAATCCCAAAATTATAGAAACATCTCTAACAAAGACAACTAAATAACTACCAAATTAAAATAGCAATAAGAAAACAACAATTCTTAGAATTCATGAAACCAAAGCATATATAAAAGAATTTAAAAATCAACTTTGTAAATGCCACCCACATCTTAAAGTGATTACTAAACTTTAATGGCACAAAGTAATGAAAGCCAATATAAAATTGATTACGATCACTTTGCTCGTATAGTTTAAGATGTCACACTGCTGATTCTAACAAAACTCATTCCATCCCCAAAAAAATCTTTATATCATCACTATACCATAAGTACGTGTCCCACTTCACTTCGACCATAAAAAACAACATAATAAGTTTGTCCACATCTATTTTAAACAAAGATAAAACTGATTATTTGTAGGCAATAGACCCCTATATCCTTTTGTCATTGATTAGATGAAATTCCTAAATGTTTAAAATCATGCTACCACGTCAATAAAACTATTACCCCTAGCTTTCCATAATTGATTTATGTAAAAAATGATTTTTATCCATCAACCTGTCAATTTTTTTTTTTTTGTTTAAACAAAATTAAGTATACGTGAACAAAGGCATCTCAACAATGAAAACGTTGAAAGCAAAGTAAAATGAAGCAAGGACATGAAAGAATCAAAGCCTCGAATAGTAAAATGTAACAAAAGCATCCAGCCCAAATAACAAAGAGGTTCACCTTTCTTTAAGTTCATATTTAAATTAAGTTATATAAATGTTATGTAAAAATAGGTAACACCAAAATAGAAACGTTATATGATCCATATGTGATTAAGTAAACCTAAAAGAAAAGCATATTTAGATAATATTAACATTAGTGAATGAGTAATAACATAGAAATATTAACAAATAAACAGAGCAAGGTACATATATCAATATAGAAAAGTAAGAAAAAAAAGGTAAAAGAGATTAGTTAAAACAACCCATTTTGATATATATAACAGCCATTGAATATAATAAAATGCAAGTTATTTCATGCTTTATTAATTTTAAATTAAATAATTCTTATATATTACATAATTACAACAAAAAATTTTTTAAAAGAAAAAAGTTCGTATTAAAAAAAATAAGAAATTTTATAAAACATCAACTCTGCTTCAATTTTCACTGCTAAAATTTTAAAAGAAACTGAAAAACAGAAATTAAGGGCTCAAACCTTAATCTTTTTAACAAACCAAACCTATCATTCCATGCAATAATCAGTCTTAGTTAGATTAACCTTCAAACCCTAAATCACAAAAAAAAAAAATGAAGAATTAGCTAAAGTCATCTCAAAAATCACCAATAATTAAAAATATGAATAAAAAATTATAAGGACAAAATCAAGCAATTATCAAGAACAACAAAGAAACAAAAACATGAAAAAAAATAAGAAAAAGCAGAGAAAAAATTTAAAGAAAATTTCAATAAAATAAAATGTTCTCGTTGAAAAAGCTAGCCAAATTGGTGTGTGTAGGCCAATTTTGAAAAAAAAAAAAAAAAAGAGAAAAGAAATTGGAAAGAGGAAACGAAGAAACAAAAAGAAAGAGTATGGGAAAAATAAAGAAATGGGAAGATCTCTTACTCACCTTCTCTGATCTGATTTTTTCAAACTATAAAAGAAAGGAGGTAGAATGGGAAAGAAACTCTTTCTTCTTCTTCTTCTTCTTCCTGTTCTGTGTCACTTTTCTTCTCGTTTCGCACTCTAGAGGCTTCTTAAAGTTTTATCAATTTTTTTAATTTCAAAATTACCCTTGAAATTATTTTTTAAGACAAACATCAGTTGCAATTTTTTATATTATGTATAGACGTACAGATATAGCTACTGTCATTTTCATCTAGCGCGTCACATAAAATATATGACAGAAAAAAAAGAAAAAAAAAACTATCGATGGCGGTTTTAGAGACAATTATCGATAAGAATGGTGTCTCTCCGGCTGCAAGATGATGCTTGGCTTAAAGGTTGTATGAATTAATGATGCAACAGAAATTGATGATCACAAGCAAAAACCAGCAGTATTTTGGGATAATTTGTGCTATATAATAAAATTATGCATATGAAATTTGAACAATTTATATAATCTTAATAATTTTGACGAGTAACGGCTCAACTTATTATTTTTTTAAAAAAAGAAATAGATTCAATTAAAAGAATAGCTTTGAGGTTTGAATTTTCGCGTTCTTTCTTTTTTGATTCATTCGGATGTACTAAAAACAAAATGTTTATTAACTTAATAAAGAATAAAACTCTCAACGAAGCTATTTAAATAGTAAGTCAAAACATGCATAAGTATTATTAATTGCATACGAACAAATTACAGAGAGGAAATCAAATACAAAATCCACAAACACTAATTTACAAAGAACCTAGGCAAATATATCCGTTAAAACTTTTGGACGCTTAGATTACAATATTGCCACATGTACCCTTTTATTTATCATATTAATTTATTAATTATTTTACATATATCCTAACATTAATGGGTTATGTTGCAATTCTTTTATCTCTTCATTGGAGTTTAAAAGCTTTTAACGATGGTGTATGACAGAACCCTGTGCATGCCTAATCCCATGTTGATGAAGCAAATTACCGACATACAACTTTCGCCCTTTCCATCATTGTAGATTGGGCAGGTCCTCCTTCATCCTTTTTATGAACTCCCTATGAATGGTTTCAGGTAGTTTAAAGAAGATGACGGTTAAGCCCATACATGTAAACCAGACAGAGAAAACAATGATGGTGCAAAGACCGGATGGTGATATGACCCACATTGAGCCTAACAGGCAAATCAACAACGTTGTCAATGTTACCGTAAGTACCCAATCTGTAAGATGACCAATAGAAAGCAGAAATAGTAGTCTTATGGTTAAGTAATATGTAGTAAAGAGAGCCAAATTGTTTGGGATAAAAAAGAAAAGGAAACTCTGTGTACTCATAACTGATGCCCCGACACGTTGATCGGAATGTTTAATCAGGGTATTGATTTGGCCAGTCGGGGATGTTGTAGTAGTATTGCTGGTGGTGGAGGAAGTGGTGTCACCCTCGCCAAAGCCTCCAGGAGGGCTTAAAGTGGCTTGGTAAGTGGCTGTCAGGATGAGAACCAACACTACGAACAAAGCATTGCTCCTCTCCAATGATGTTTTTCGAAGATCATTCCTCCATTCAATGAATAACCTTTCAATCCAAGAGATCCTTGAACCTATTATCAACTTATCTAAGCTTTTAAGTGTGGGAATTGAGCCGTTGTTCTTGCCTCCGGCACGACGTAACAGTTTACTGATCTGTCCCTGTACGTCGTTACCTTGCCAGCTTGCTTCTGAGACATCAAGGGCCGTTAAACGCTTCACGTTGACGTCGTTAACATTAACCTTACATTTCAATAATATTTTGATGCAATCCTGCAAAGTGAATAAATAAAAGTAACATTAATTAAAAGGGTTAATATTATAAACGACTTTAAATTATAGTAAAATATTTAATATAACATTTAAATTTTTAAAATTTTTAGTATGATACTTGTATTATAAATTTATTAATTAATTTAATATTTTAAAGAATGTTTGTATGTCATATATTATGATTTGAAATTAATCACGTTAGAGATGAGTATCATATTAATTAATAAATTTAAAATTTAAGTAATATATTAAATATTTTTAAAATTAATTTATTATATTAAACATTTTATTATAATTTAATAGCTATTCATAATATTAATCCTATTAATCATTTCATTATAGTTTAGTGACTATTCATAATAATAACCTTAAGTGAAACAAGACTAAAATGCTTAAGGGACTACTAAACTTTTTCTAATTTTTTTGGTAATATTTTATAATTTTGTTATACCTAAATAAATTCTTAATACTTATTGGATTTTTTTTGTCCACATAAATAAAAGGTGATTGAAAATTAAAATATTTTAAAATATTTATTATTTTTCAAGAATTAATTTTCAATTTTTATCCCCATCATAAATAAAAGTTTTGTTTTAAATTTTCAATTTTGTACATAGCATCATGCCACATAAGCTTCTATGTAATGTTGACTATAATAAAAGTCAACTCTCTATTTGGGCTAAAGATTTATTAAGGTACAAATTAAAAATTAAGAGTTTATTTGGATACAATAAACACTAAAAGTTTACTTAGAAAATTAAAATGATAAAATTTAAAGGTTTTTTTTTATTATTATTTTAAGCAACAATGGCTATATTCTCTTCCAATTAGAAAGAGAGTTTCTATTTGCACTGAAGTTTTTCTCTCCACATTTTTTTATTTTTGTAAATTATTTTAAAGTAAAATTATTTAATTATCCTTTTCACTTTTAAAAGTTTATAGTATCATATAAAAAATCTTATAAGTTAAATAACATACACTATGTTCAATAAATTATAAAACTTATCATATATAAAAATTGGATAAGGTATATAACTTACTAAATTTTGATATTTGTGATAGTTTTGAAAATTTTAGAGAGAATTGCAAAATTAGAGCCTTATTAAAAATTTTTATTAATTGATATAATAAAAAAGTTATTATTGGAAAAAATTATAAATATTAAAATTAATTAAAAAATATGTTGATTTTATTATTTTGACCTTAGAGAAAGAATAAAATTTTATGAGACCCAACTAAACTAAGAATAAAATTTTATGAGACCTAACTAAACTAAGGATAAAATAATAAATGCAATTTTTTTATAAATTTAAAATTCATCATTTCTTTTTAATAAATATTTTTCCCTTGGTATCAATTATTAAAATATTATAATAGACTTCAATTTTTATCCATTTTTTTTATTTCTTTTCATTAAAAAAAGAAAATCCGGTAATAATTTAAGTCAATTACAAAATTTTAATACTTGATACTAAGAGAAAAATATTATTAAAAAATTGATAATTTTTAATTTATAAAAAAAAATACTTTTACTATTTTATCTTTAGTTTAGTTAGGATCTCATAATACTTTATTTTTTTAAGATCAAAATAATAAAATTATATTTTTTATTAATTTTAAAATTGGCATTTCCTTTTCAATAATAATTTTTTTTCATTATACCAATTAATAAAATTTATAATAAAACCTCTTCTTTGTAATTTTTCCCAAAAATTCTAGAAACTAATTTAGAGATTTCAAAATCCGATACATTATATAACTTACTAGATACTTATATCTAGTAAGTTATTTAATTTATTAAATTTTCATATCCAACAAATTTTATAATTTATAGGATATGGATATTCAGATTTTTTAAGAGTAAAAAAAATCATTAAATAATTTCACTTGAAGATAATTTTGAAAAAAAATAAAAAAAGGTGTAAAAAACAAAACCAGTCGTGCAGATAGAAGCCCTCAATTAGAAATTCTATTATCAAATTAATGAAAAGTGAAGAGATGAGATAATGCCTGGGATACGATATACCTTTAGTCGTCTTGCAGGTAGCCAAATTCTGATCATGGAGACAGCTAGGTGCAGCACGGTGTTACCATCTAAGTCCTTCGTATTAAGAATATCTTTCTTCTCATCCGGAGAGAGGTGAGAGGTCCTGAAAATCCATTTTAATAGGACTTCAAAAGCTTCTCCCGTTGCAATATGCAGAGCAGTCTCGTTTCGAATTGTGACATCTTGGATACATTGAGGGCATTCTTTTAGGAACTCAGGCAAGAACTCGAGCTGCAGGTCGTGTAGCTTGGCTAAGAGATGCAAAGGAGTGCAGCCTCCTTTTCCTTTGATTCGAACGAGGTTGTTATCCACGTGCAGGAGACAGTAGACCATATCTCTTCGCCGGTTTTCCAAAGCAATGTGAAGGGGGCTGAGACCAACTTGGTTGAGCTTCCTAGTGAATGATGGCTTGAAGTTCGCAATCTCCCTACAAAATTCAATGTGCCCTTCAGCTGCAGCTATATGGAGTGGAGTATCAACAAACTCCAACTCATCCATGTCCTTCAAAACATTTCCATTCTCCCTAATACAATCATATAATTCGTCGATGCTACCTTTTTCAGCAGCTTTCTTCAAATTCTCATTCATTGCTAAAGGACTGACTGTGATGGTAATAGCAAGAAGATTAATTGAAAGGGTTTAGGCTATTAAGTTAAAAGATTGAAATTTAAAGAACAAATTGGAATGAGAAAGATATAGGAGGATGATTTCCTTTACATAAGAATTGGAATTACATTCGGAACGTTTGGTTCAATTACTATTATTAAAAAATACAAATTTTAAACGAGAGTTTGTCTCAATTAATTCATATAATTTTGTTTTAAAAAATAATATACAATAAATTTAAAATTCAGACCTCAATACCTAAAATCTCTTATAACCCGTCCCTGTACTCCCAAGCTACAAGCTTCTTTATAAAAGAAAGAACTGAGATATTAAATTCTTTGACTTTATTAGCCATGCTCTTGGAGTGCTTTATTATTAACATCATTGAGTGTTAGAAAAATGGGGTCCAACCTCATGTAAATAGTTTTGGATCAAGTAAAGGTCATGGGCTTTAATCTTTCATTTTACACAGAGCCCTAGTTACTTAATAAAAAAGAGGTGGGGTTGTTTTAAGCGTGTGTCGAAAATCAAGTAGAGAAAGAAGAAAAGCTAGAAAAAGCAAAGAGAAAAAGAGAAGGGAGAGTTGGTTGAACGGAAGTCGATCCGTAGTCCGATTGAGTTGGAACCTTGTCAGGAGGTTTATGATTCAGAGTTCTACATTCTGAACGGTGAAGATCAAGTTTGAAACTCTCTAGAAACAAATCTATGGTGTATTTGTTGAGTCATTTATTTCGTGAGATTTCTCCAATTGTTTCTCTAGTTGTTGATTAGCTCTAGTTTTAGCTAGAGAAGAATTTTGTATACCTATTATTTGATAGTGAAGATTTTTCTGGTAGTCCGTGATTTTTTTCCTCTACACTGGAGGGTTTTTCACGTAAAATTTGGTGTGCTTTATTTTTTTTATATTTTTTATTATTGATTATTATCTATTACTTCTGTATTGTTGTGATTTTTATAAAAAAAAAAAAAAACTGAAATATTAAATTCTTTGACTTTATTAGCCATGCTCTTGGAGTGCTTTATTATCAACATCGTTGAGATCCTCAAATATTGATCATCAAATAATGAGTAAAAAAAATTAGACAACTATTATCTCTTATTTTCTATTATTTAATTTAATATTAATAGTGACTTTTTTCATATAAGCTCTCATATCAATGATAAACGATTGAAAGTGGACAATAAGGGATCAAAAGAAAAGACATTAAGACTAAAAAAATAAAAAAGTATGCGGACATCGTCGGCTAGATTGCAATAGAATTTCATACTCCTATTTTATTTTTTTTTTACTTTTTTATAAAATATCTTAAAATTATATTTTAATTTTTTTGAATATCTAAAATTTTTATTTTTTATATTTAAATTTTTTATTTTTTAACATTAAAAATCATAAACTTTAATTTTATAAAAAATTTAAATTTTAATATTAAATATATTAAATTTTATAAAAATTAATATATAATAAACATTTTGAAACAAAAAAAAATAAAAAAAAATTTTATAATGTTGATAAGTAAAATTTTTTTTAAATTTTAATCGTACATAATTAATTTTTAAGCCCCTAAATAAGCTTGCACGACATCATTTTTGTTATCATACATAATTAACTTTTGGGCCCCCTAAATAAGCTTAAAGGACATTATTTATTTTTTCATCTACTAGAAAAGGATATTTATTACAAAACATCATTTATTTTTTTCATCTGCTAGGAAAAGACAATTATTTATATGTCAACGCCAAATATTAGTGATCTTATCAAGCTTGGTTTTGTCCAATTTGAAGGTTGCTCTAACTTTCTTTTCTTTTTTTTTTTTAAAAAAAATTTAATATTTTTATAAAAAAGAGGTCGGAACATAGGAATGAGGTTGTTTCCCAAGTACAGGAGACAAAAGACCGTATCTTTTCATCGATTTTCCAAAGCAGTGTGAAGGGTAGGAGTGTAATCGAGTCGAGTCGAGTCGATATAGTGAGAAGTTCGAGCTCGACTCTCAACTCGTTGCTCGATATTCAGCTCAAACTCAGTCGAATTTCATTTTTCTAGATCGAGCTTAATTTGTGATCGAAATCGAGCTACTCGAGCTCGTTCGATTAAGCTCGATTAATATATAAAAATAAACTCGATTCGTATACTGGACAAAAGTTTGATTATTTGTACTTGAGTTCAAACTCAAATTCGAGATATTTTATTAATTAAAATAATAAAAATATATTTAAATATAAAAGCTCATTAGGCTCGCGAATTACTTGAACTAGGTATAAGAATACTCAAACTTGACTCGATCGACGAGTCGAGCTACTTGAGCTCGAGCTTGATTCGATAATAATCGAATCGAATTTGAATTTTATTCGAATCGAATCTGAGTAACTTGCAAATACTAATGTATTATTTATACTCCTAGTGAAAGGTGCTGAGACCGTGTTGGTTGAGCTTCCCAATGAATGATGGCTTTAAGTTCACAGTCTTCCTACAAAATTCAATGTGCCCTTTAGCTGCAGCTATATTAAATGCAGTATCAACCAACTCCAACTCATCAATGTCCTCCAAAACATCTCCATTCTCCCTACTACATTCAACGCATTGATGCTCTCTGCTTCAGGAGCTTCCTTCAACTTCTCATCCATTGCGAAGGGACTGTGATGGTAATAGCTAGAAGATTAATTGAAAGGGTTTAGGCTATTAGGTGAAAAGATAGAAATTTAAAGAACAATTGGAATGAGAAAGGTAAGGGAGAATAGTTTCCTTTATATAAGAATTGGAGTAACATTTCGAATGTTTGGTTCAATTAATATTATTAAAAAATTTAAGTTTTGAAAGAGAATTTAGTTTAATCGATTCAAACAATTTTACTTAAAAAGTAACATCTAATAGGTTTAAAATTTAAATCTCAATATTTATATTTTTTTTATTTTCAGGTTTTGACTTCTTATATACAAAAAAAAAAAAATTCAGGTTTTGAATTTTTTATTACAAAATATTTTTTTAAAAAAAAAATAATTCAATTAATTTATATAATTATTTTTAAAAAATAATATTTAAAAAATTTAAAATTCAAATCTTCATATTTATAACTTTTTTTTATCTTCAAACTACGACATTTTTAAAAAAAGAAAGAACTGAAATATTGAATTCTTTGATTTTATTAGCCATGCTGTAGGAGTGCTTAATTATCAACATCCTTGAGACCCTCAATAATGAGTAAAAAAAAATAGACAACTATTATCTCTTATTTTCTATTATTTAATTTAAAATTAACGGTGAGTTTTACAGATAAGCTCTCATATTAATGATAAACGATTGAAAGTGGACAATAAGGGATCAAAAGAAAAGAAATTAAGACAAAAAAAAAAGTACGTGTACATCATTGGATAGATTGCAACAATTCGTGAGTCTTTTTTTATAACGTTGATAGGACAAATTTTATAAGTTTCAACCGTACATAATTAATTTTTGGGACCCCTAATTAAGCTTACAAGACATAATTTATTTTTTTCATATGCCAGAAAAAGACCTTTATTTATATGTTAACTCCAAAAATTAGTCATCCTACCAAACTTATTTTTGTCCAATTTGAATGTTGCTCAAACTTTCTTAACTTTCTTTTGAAAAAAGATTAGATTTTTTTATACAAAAAAAGTCAAATCATAGGAATAAAAAAAATATTGTAAGTGTTGAAATTCAAATTTTAAATCTATTAGATACTATTTTTTTAAAAAAATTGCATGATTTAATTGAACTAAATTTCTAATTAAAAAAAACTTAAATTTTGAACAAACCTTTTATCATGTAATCAATTCCAAATGAAATGAATTTTACTATGAAATTCCATTTACAAATTAATGAACTTTCAATTAGAAATAAAATTACATCAATATACCAAAAAAGAAATTCAAAATATAATATTGAAAATTACTTTTTTTTAGTAATAAAATTTTTTTATCATTTTTAATGAGAATTAAATCATTTTTCAAAACAATGCTATTATCACTTTAGTGATTTAAAATTACTGTCACATAAGATTATTAAATTGCTATCAAACAATGTGATATAATTACTGAGTGAATATCAATGTAGGTTTTAGATCGATCATTCTTTACCAAAAGCTCTCCTAGCATACAGAGAAATAATTTATATTTAAAATTGATTGAATTGATTAATTTATAAATTGATTATAAATTATAGTTAATTTATTATAGTTATAGTTACAGAGAAATAAAATTGATTAATTTATAAATTATAGTTACTATTTAAAAATTTTCAACAAGTTTTTTGAATTCTCTATATCCAATCACAAACCTAGAAACATTTGGATTTTTTGCCAAGTATATACTTTTAATATAATTAGGGGCATTCTCAAGTTTTGCTTGAGTCTAACCCTGTTTTGTCGACAAATACAATTCTCCAAATAGTCAACAAATATTAATATTTTCTTTTGTATATCATTGTTTTAGCAATTAATTTTCTTTTTTTTTTTATTTGGAATTGTTGATGTAAAACTACTTGACGATATAAAATTTCTAGGTTGGGAATGTGAGGTCTTAATGAATTATAGAGATGCTACATAGTTTGAGTGCGACTCCTACGAATTAGTTTAAACCATTTAGCAAAAATTGCCCTAATATCTAATTACAATTGCTGTATAAATTCAAGTAATATCACAATTTTGTTTTGATCAGATAATTTGATGATATATCTCATAAAAAAAATTGAGATTATAAGTCGAAAGTCATATGATCTATTAATAGATTGTTATGTTTTTAATTTTAATGACTAAAATTCAATTTAGAATGAGATTATGTGTAAGTATTAGAGATTCAAAACTTCTAATTTAAACCCTAATTTAACTTTTGGATTCAATTTGGTAGCATTGAAATTCTAATCAAAATTTTTCTCTCTTTTCTTATCATTGACATTGCATTTCAATTATGAAAAGAGAAAATTAAGTGTTGGGCATTGACTCAATCAATCAACAACCGTCGAAGAT